ATCCATGTTAACCATCAAAGAATGCTTACTTTAGTGAAATCCCCTTTTCTGGACGTTTTACGATAGTGACCTCGTATAAGAGTTTCCCTTTGTGAGAGTTTCCCATGGACTAATTTCACTGAGCATAATGTTCTCCAAGTTCTCCCATGCCACGGGGCGCTTTCCGGATTGACTGCTGGGTTGCACACTGCGTAGTATTCCATTGTGTATGTACTTCGCACCAACGTTTATTTAGTCATTTTCCCCTGATGGACATGTAGGTTGTTTTTTAAAATCTTTTTGCTATTATGCATAGGGTCGTGATGGCGATGGGTGCCCATATATCTATTCGTGTCATGGCTCTTATTTCTTTAGCATACTATATATACCAAGGTGAGGGATTGCTGAATCATATGACTTTTCTATTTCAACTTTTAAAGGACACAACACTCGTGTTCCATAGGGGCAACACCACTTTTGCAATCCCTCCAGCACTGCATGAGGCTTCCCAGGCTTCCAAACCCTTTCTCCCTACACTGTTCTTTTTTTCTATTTGAAATTTTCTTTTAATGCCAAGCTGAGATGAGATTGAATTTTTATTCTGATTTGTATCATTGAGGGCTAATGGTGGGATTGGTGGCATGATATATGTTGGGCTGTTAACCTTCAGGTTGGTGGTTCAAACCCACCAGCCACACCTGTAGAGCTTTAGAAACACCCCCAAAGCATTTCTACTCCATCACATTGGGTCTCTGTGAGATAGAATCTACTCCAGGCCAGAGGATTTGATTTTTGGTTTAGGTTTCTGTAGATCACCTGTCTAAAGTACGTGTGACAAAGTCTTGCCATTCCTACCTAAAGAGCATTTTGCCTGCACTTCCTCCTCACCACGATGAGCCCTGGTGCCCTAGTGGCTACCCTTTGGGCTGCTGACTATAATGTCAGAAGTGGGAAACCCACAGTTGTCAGGAAAAAGAGAGTAAAGGGTTTCAATGTCTTCAACAAACAGGAGCAGTGCTACCCTGCCCTGTAGGGTTGCTATGAGTCAGAATTAACTCAATGGCAGCGAGTCTGAAGAGTCGCTGTTCTAACACAGATTTGTTTGTCCTCCTGGCAATTGATGCACTTTCAGGATTCTTTGCCAACATCATCATTCAAAGGCATGAGTTTTCCTCAGCCTTTTTGTACTCCTTGTCCAGCTTTCACATGCGTGTGCAACTCAAATTCATAGAGACCCTCCAGGACAGGGTAGAACTGTACTTATGGGTTTCCGAGACTCTAATTCTTTATGGGAGTACAAAGCCCCGTCTTGCTCCTGCAGAGTGGCCCATGGTTTTGAGCTACTGATCTTGCGGTTAGCAGCCCTACTATGCCACCAGGGCACCTGGGCTCTGAGGTGATTGAAAATGCCAGGCCTTGGGTCAGAAGCACTTTAGGCCTCAAAGTGACATTGTGGCTTTTTAACACTTTAAAGGGGTCTTTGCTGAAGATTTGCTTTTGCATGAAGAAACTTTTTAAGCAAAAGCCACTATTATTTGTTAAGATTTTAAGACTTCATGTGCTTAACTTGCACATGGCAGCACACATGATGGAAAGACATATGTAGTTCCTCTTAATCTCTGTTTTAAACTCATTTGTATCCCAGTCGACTGTCAACTTCAAGAATGCAGGTGTTTTGCCTGTCTTAATAGCTACTGTTCACTCAATGTCAAGAACACCGGGCAAAACACCTGCTTTCCTGAACAGGTGAACACCTACTCACCCTTTCTACCTTTTTTGAAGTAATTACTGAATTTTCTTTCCACTGGTAAGAACATATTTGTTGTACAACAAAAAAAAAACAATGCATTAGGGTAAATACTATCATTTTACCATATGAACTTCCCTTTTGACCCATTTTAAATTTTCTCTAGTTTTTAATACTTTTAGACTGAGGTTCTTCTGTTTTACTTTGGAATGGCTGTTGTTATTTTTGTTTGTGTGTCTGTGCATGTGCGTGTGTTTCTGTATATGAAATCCAAGCTAGCTAAAGCTACAGAGAGAGTGATGGTATGACAGGGAGGTTTCGGGAAAAGGGGGGTTGAGAACAATGAGTACAAGAGAGCAGAAAATGCTCTGAAATTGATTGTGGTGCTCATTGTACAACTCTTTAATATGATTGAACTATTGAATTGGATGATATCTGCATTATATGCCAATAAACTCATTACCAATGAAATTATAAGACACCAACAAAATATTGCCTATGTATTTCCGTCATCTAAAAATGTGGGAAGGGAATATTCACCCCACGGCATTCCAGGGACAGGAACATGGACACTGGCTCCAGGGCATTCTTTGAAGGAAGTCCACACCATTTTCATGGCTCGAACGAGCTGGAGTGATGCGGACCTCCATCACCTGACAAGGATCCTCTGTCCGTTATTTTCCAGTCTGTATAATCCTTTTGAGAAAGATTGTTCAAGAGGCAGATGGAAATAGTTCTAAGTGTGAAAGCACTCAATCACCTCCTACCCACTATTTCCTCTTTTCGCCTCCTTTCTTTGACAGTTGGCACTGAGACAGACTCATAAGGGGATGCGAATGTTTGTACATGAAGTCATGTATCCATTCGGGGTAAAATCTATGAAAAATTAATAACAATAACTCTTTAGATTTGTACAATTTACCAGACTAATTTCACAGACATTACCTCGGAGCTAAGAAAGGTCAAGTGGGAACTCTTCCAGTCTTTGGAAACAACACTTGCTGGGAAACTGCTATGTGTTAGTACAACACTACTCGAAGAAAAAGAATTCAGCCTCAGTAGGCATAGTTGTTTCATGCTACCCTGCATGTTTATTTGGAGGAAGATGCAGAGATCTACAAGGGAACATACACTTTTAGCATTTCTAATTTAACCTCATTGCATCCTCTCCCTCTTCCTGGGAGCTGGGTTTGTACTTCTCGATGGACAGACTTGCACGCGCTTTCCGTTGAACTTACTGAGACATCCCTAGGTAACTGCAGCTACGTTAGGCTCCTGGCGGGCCACAAATTCGAGTGAGCCCAAGTACATCAAAGGAAAGGGAACCATGAGATTGAAACGAAGTATCAAGTTGATAGACATTTATTTTCTGATAGACATTGGATCTATTGAAAGATTCAGAACAAAATGTAGTTTCCATTAATCATTTTGTGGATATAGTTATAGGCAGATAATTCTTAGTATTTATAATTTAATAATTTATAAGCAATTTATTCTATATGTTAAAATTATGTTATATGCTTGTGCACACTTGTATTACATCATAAATTGAAAGTGTAATTAGCTTCCAATTATATAATTCTGAAGTTTTAGCATAAACGTGTTACTGTTTAGCATTATTTATCCACCCTTCACACTATTTCTAGATTTTTTTCCCCTTCACTATTGCTATTCATATGAGGTGACTGAAAAGACGGACTTGAGTCAGGTTGGCACACCTTAGTCCTGAAAGTGGCATCTTTGCTTATTCACACTTTAAACAGGTCTTTTGCAGCAGATTTATCTAATGAGATGCTCATAGCAACCCTGGAGGGAAAGCGCAGCCCCTGGAGGTCTCTGAGGTCATGACTCTGTGCGAGACCAGGAAGCCTCACCTTTCACCTGCAGAGAAGCTAATGGTTTTGAACTGTTAATCTTGCCACTCACAGTCCAATGCATAACCACTGTGTTGGAAGGGCTCCCCCAATTACAATACATTCTTTAATTTTTATATAAGTAAGATACATTATAGACAATTTCACTGTTTTCCCATTTATTGTGATCTGTTTATAGGAATGCTGGACAATGGAAAACAAAGGGGAAGTAATGACTTTAAACCATGCTGCTGACCAAGAACACTTAATATGCCACAGACTGCAGAACAAACCAAACCAGTCTTTTTTTAAAAATCATTTTATTGGGGCCTCATATGTCTCTTATCGCAATCCATACATACATCCATTGTATAAAGCATATTTGTACATTCATTACCTTCATCATTCTCAAAACATTTGCTCTCAAATACGCCCCTGGCATCAGTTCCTCATTTTCCCCCTCCCTCCTTGCTCCCCTCTCCTCATGAACCCTCATTAATAATTTATAAATTATTCTTTTGTCATATCTTATACTGTCTGATGTCGCCCTTCACCCACTTTTCTGTTGTCTGTCCCCCAGGGAGGAGGTTATATGTAGATTCTTATAATCGGTTCCCCCTCTCTACTCCACCCTCTCTCCACCCTCCCATTATCACCACTCTTACCACTGGTCCTGAAGGGATCATCCATCCTGGATTCCTGTGTTTCCAGTTCCTATCTGTACCAGTGTACATCCTCTGGTCTAGCCAGATTTGTAAGATAGGGATCATGATAGTGGGGGTGGGGAGGAAGCATTTAGGAACTAGAGGAAAGTTGTATGTTTCATCATTGCTACACTGCACCTGACTGACTCATCTCCTCCCCGTAACCCTTCTGTAAGGGGATGTCCATTTGCCTACGGATGGGCTTTGGGTCCCCACTCCGCACTCCCCCTCATTCACAATGATATATTTTGTTCTTTGATGCCTGATACCTCATCCCTTGGACACCTTGTGATCACACAGGCTGGTGCTTTGTTGCTTCTGAACTGGATGGCTGCTTCCTTACCTTCAAGCATTTAAGACCCCAGATGCTATATCTTTTGATCGCCGGGCACCATCAGCCTTCTTCTCCACATTTGCTTATGCACAAATTTGTCTTCAGCGATAGTTTCGGGAAGGTGAGCATCATGGAATTCCAGTTTAATAGAACAAAGTATTCTTGCATTGAGGGAGTACTTGAGTGGAGGCCCAATGTCCATCTGCTACCTTAATACTAAACCTATAACTATATGCACAGAAATCTATTTCCCCATCCTCATATATAAATATATTTACATATGTACATGCCTTTATTTAGACCTCTATGAATGCCCTTTGCCTCCTAGCTCTTTCCTCTATTTCCTTTTACTTTCCTCTTTCCCCATGATCTTTTTTTTACCCCAGGGAAGAGCACTAATGCAGTCCTTCACTACCACAAATTATGCAGTCGAGTTTCCCACATTTGGGGAAATCGCAGGGGTCAGCATAATATCTGGAGTGCAATGGATGAGCCTCACCCTGGGAAAACCACCTTCATGATCATGGTATCTCCCCTGCCAGGTAGGTATTGTCCCACTATCATGTTCAGCCCTCATTTGGGTTTCAGTAATTCCTCTTGGTTACATTACCCTTGATCACACCCTACCAGGCTTCCTACACCATCCTCACCGATTTGGATCACTTGTTGTTCCCTTGTCCCTGGGTTTCTTAACATCACTTCCTGTCCCCCCACCTCCCCCTCCCCCATGTCCCCTGGAACTGTCTGTCCTGTTATTTTCTCCTCCCGATTAGAAAAAAAACAGTCTTAAAAGATATACCAAAAAGATCTCCCTTAGAAGTGAGGATGGGGAGACTCTGGTTCACTTTCTTTGGACATATCATCAAGAGAGACCAATTAATAGAAAAAGCCATCACGTTTGTTACAGTAGAGGGTCGATCAAAATGAGAGAAATCTTCAACGAGATGTATTGGTATAAGAGCTACAAAAATGGACTGAAACACAACAATGACCCTGAAGACGGTATATGAGCAGGCAATGCTTCACATATGTGATCTAGATCCAGCCCAAGTATACATCATTGCAACTCTATCTGCGCATGGTATATTTTTATATTTCTGAAATAGGCACATGATGCGACATTAAGCTTTTCTTACATAATGATTATAGCTGTTTGGCTGACACACATTACATCAGTCCTACTTTCTTCGCCTAAGATTTAGAATATAACAGCTTCTCAAAAACCCAATAACTTTAGTTTTTATTTATAAAATGCACTCTGTTCTCTATAAGTCTATTTAAATGATATGTTCATAAATTCACCGTCTGGTACTTTCTCTAGCACACTTAGAAAAACAAACTGATGACAACAATTGATCTTCCACTTTAAACTTTATTTTGAACATATAGCCTATCAGCATATTTTCAAAATATTTTCATGTAATCATCATTACTTAAATCCATCTTCCAAGATCATATTTATTATGCCTCATACAATACAGAATCTGAATGTAATTATTCCCAAATTTTGAATGTTGTTCTTAGAAGCCACACGTTATCCCCCAACTTCCATGGCCCCATGCTCAATGGGATCAGATGGTTGTGATTCATACTTCAGAGGATTTCTCTTGGCTGATTTTTGGAAGTAGGTAGCCAGGCCTCTATTCCTGGTATGGCTTAGTCTGAAAGCTCCCCTAACCCTTACTTGTTCAGCAGCACAGCAACACACAACTTCCGCTGGTCATTGGCCAAAAGTCAATCCTAACTCTCTTGCATGGGTGTCAAACTACTACCACTGGACCACCAATTTCCATCTACATATTCTACGTATGAGATGTTTGGAAATGCCATGTTCATGTATTGGAATAGTAGAATAAACAGCAAAAAGCAGACGTTTTAGAGTGTATGTGAATGCAACCTAAACACTATACCTCTTAGAATCATGATTTTTGATGCCCACCCCCTTTCAAAATACATGACATTTTCCTTGAATTTGTTCTGATGAGAAATGATTGGAGAGGAATAGAGTTACCCTTACGGGTTAGAGGCTAAAATATTTCCATACTACTGTGTTTTAACTAAAGAACATGATCAAATAATTCTGCATTAAAGAATTTATAAAAACACCAATGAAAAGACTTTTATAAGTGCTTTCCGTTGCCAAAGAGAAATGGCCAGAGATATTTAATCTTTTTTTTGCACCATTTTATTATAGTTTTCAAATCCATTTTATTGGGAGTTAATACAGATGTTATATAATTCCATAGTTCAATCACATCAACCAACACTGCACAATTGCTAAAACAATCAGTTTTAAAATATTATTTTCCTTCTTGAATTCCTTGACATCAGCTCCCTTCTAGCCACCCCCCTTATACTGTACCCCCCAGAAACTCTTATTCTATTTGCTTTCCCTATACGTTCATCAATCATGGATTTCATATACTGAAAAACAGAAAAACATATAGCAAAAATTCAAGAGGGTGACCCCAAATGACATAAAACATCTGAGATAAACCAAAATCTTTTATTTGATTTGATCCCCAAACTATTCCTGAAGGTTACAAAAACAAGATAAAACAACAAAAAAGAAAGAAACAAAACAAAAGACAAACCCCCTCACTACTTTGGAGTTGATTCTGACTCATAGCAACTCTGGAGATCAGAGTAGAACTGCCCCTGTGGGTTTCTGCGATTGCAACTCTTTGTGGGAGTGGCAAGCCGGGTCTTGGTTTTGTGGAGTGGCTGTAGGCTAAAACTGCTGCCCTTGCAGTTGGCAGTCCACGCCTGCCACCAGGGCTATTTTATAGCCTGAATCTGAGGCTTTGAGACATTATGTAATTTCTGCAAGATACAGTGGTTCTTCCACACTCACCTAGGATTCAAATCTGAGCCTTCTTACAACCCCAAAGATATTTATAACATGCTACAGCCCACCCTCTTAGGAATTGCTAATGTAACCTTGGGGATTAGGACTATTAGGGTGTACTTGCTTATTTTGTTCTCCAAAAGGAAAAGAGAGGACAGAATCTTCTTTTATTAGAGTTTAAATGCAAATGTATTTTTCCAAATCATAAACCCTAACAGGAATTTCTGTAGAAATTAATAATTGTGCCAGCTATCAATCTTTTCATGCATAACATTCAAAATTGTTACTCTGCCTACAGATGAAATGTCACTTTATAAAAAGCTAATAATATGCACCCACAAGTTTTCCTGTCAACACCCCTGAGCCAATAGCAATCTAAAAAGTTAAAATTGAGTGTAATATAAAAGTCATTTGCACATAGACATGAAATGATGTATCTTATTGATACCATGTTAAATTAAAACAATAGGATGCAGTCTTAGAATGAAGCAGACATTCTTGTAGCCAAAAAGTTACAGATAATTTAAATTAAGTGAGATTAAAATATTTTTTGTCTAGCTCCACAGATGACAACATGGAGAGCCAGTGAAGGAAAGTGAGTTGTTCATGTGGGGCTGACCATCGCCTCTTTCCTGGCCCTTCCAGCTCAGGGATTGTCCAATACGCCATCTTTAATTATCAGCGTGTGCTTGAGTTGGACAAGGATTATTCCAGAAAACAATTTAGACAGCTATCAATAGTTGGAAATATATACTAATTAGAAATGACAGAATAAATTAAATTATGAGTAAAAGAACAGGGAGGGAGGGAGGGGGAAAATGAGGAGCTGATATCAAGGGCTCAAGTACAAAGCAAATGTTTTGAGAATGATGATGGCAACAAATGTACAAATGTGCCTGACACAATGGATACATGTATGGATTATAATAAGAATTGTATGAGCCCCCAATAAAATAATTAAATAAAAAACGGATTAGGATCAGATATAATAGCTCTAGTGATGAGACTACAAATGGAACTGTCATGAAGGTGTGCCTACTCTTTTTTTGGGGGGTTAGCTTTCTATTTTCCTGCAAGGTTTGTACTATAAATGCATGAACTAAAATATAATTAGGTATGTGCCTTTACTATATCCATGTGGTGAAAAGTAACTTTCTTAGGATTGTCTAGAGATCAGAATCAATGGGGAAAAGTATTAGACAAAAGGTTTAGGGGAAAATTCCATTGTCTTTTCATTCCATTTGTCCATGAGTGAGCAATTGGCGGGGGTGGGGGTGGGGCAAAGAGGGAGAGAGAGAGAGAGAGAAAGGGATTCATCGGTTCACATCATTATGGGATGGGAGTTGATCTTCCAAAATCAAAATCTTTAATTTGGGAAGCAGACTGGATATTCTCGCAGGTTTACACCCTAAGATTTCTAGGTCAAGTGCTAAAAAGACTGTAGAGGGCAGGAAGACAGAATGTTCTGCCCAATCTCTCTTTTCCTATTCGTGAGGGGAACATGCCCAAAGGAAATCTCTTTCCATTGGATTGATGACCTTGTATTCGATTACGCCATGGAGTGCGAGTGCTTGCACCGCACATTATGTTATATGACATTAAATGTGTCCCATAGGGAACACCAATTTCTTTAGTATTTAAACCATGGGGATCCAGTGCCTAGACAGGTTGACATAAAATTAACCAT